TGTCAAGACTCCATTTCTTCTACCTGGAAAGCAAACTTGACACTCCTGCTTTCCAGAGCATCTTAATTTCCATCATTTGAATTCACTGTCCCAGTAAGTATGCACCTACTTGTCCAACCTCATGTCCCCGTTTTGTTTAATACAATCACTGTTTCTATGTTTCTGGCTAGTACCTTGCCCTATTTATACAGATGGACATAAGGCACAAACAGCAGGCAGCATTTGGGGGACACGACCTCGTCTGCTCATCCAGCAGACAAGAAGAAGACTACATTCTTATCATTCTTCAAAGCCCCCAGACCCCAGCATCTGCCTCTGTATCTGGACTTTCTCTTAGTCGATTTTTTTGCTGAGAGATGCTTCTGACTAAAAATGCATTTGCAGAGCAGAGATAATTGGCACACTCAGAACCCGGTGAATATTCAAATCAGCCCTGCCTCAGGTTATCCCTTCTCCTCTCTGCCCAAAGTCCTCTCTCAGCCCCCTCCTCTGGCAGTGATCTTGCATAATCCTAGTTATTACAGTTTTATGACATTAAAACATTTTAACCATATATTAACAATAATACATATCCAGGAAGAAGAGGGCTGATCAACTCACACATGCTCTTACGAGAAAATGGGAGCTCTCTTTCTGGGAAGAAAAATGTAGGTCTCCACCCCACCACCAAAAAAATCCCAGGATGCTCCAGAATGCAGTTTCCTTTCTTCATGACGTGTTACAAAGCACGTCAGCTGCTCTTGTTGCTGTGCAGATCACCCAACATCGGGTCACTGAGAGAGACGGCAGCGCTTGCTCGCACAGCTGATAGGATTAGGAGATGGTGCTTTGTCAGCCCTGACTGAGCCCAAGAAAGCCCCCAGCATAAGCAGGTGAGATGTGAGGGAGAGTGGATGTGGGAACCGTGATGTGTCTTGGCTGGATGGTGCAGACGTCTTCTCTGGGCAGTGCATATGTATTGTCTTTTCTGTGAAGTTTGCAGTGTGGAGGGATCCTATCAATAAAATCTGTCCTTTATCCTTTATCTGGTTTCAGAGATTAGCCACATATACCTCCCAGGATTTTTGTGAGGCTCAACTATGATTCTATTTGTGAAAGAGCTCCCCAAATACAAACTTTTGTGCATAGGAAAGGTATGAATCAATTAATTATACATTTTACATAAACAAAGAATCAAGTGACTTACCTCAGATTTGGGACATCATTTTTAAAAAGCGTGCCCCTCCAGTCTATAAGACTCTCCCTGTTACTTACCAGGCCTGGACAGGTGTATTATGTATAATCTTTGATGATTTAATTCTAATAAAGCAGTTGATATTTTCTAAAAGCCATAGCACTTTCATTCGTGTTTAAAGAAAAAGCTACAAAGTTACAAAAGCAAGACAATAAAGTATTTAAGTAGAAAATGAAAATGGTGCATAAGAATATTTTAAAGCAGATGAAAGATTAACGCATTATGCTGTATTCGATAATATCTCTTTGATGGTAAGATCCAGACGTTATTTCTCATAATGACATGAGAGACACTTGAGTGAAATTAAAGGCAGCATAGATATTATCCTTTGTAAAACTTGCCTTTTGGAACAGTAGAAAAACAGGCTTGGGTTCCAAAAGTATAGAGCCAAGAGGCATCTGAACACTAAGTCATCAGCCTTTCCCTCGGCAAGGTTGCTATGGTGACAACAGGGCTACTGCACAGTCTCCCGATGCCTGCACTTCTGCAGTAAAAGCTTTCACTGAACACATGTTGGATTTTTTTAGGCACACACCCAGCATCTAATACAAAGACTTATTGGAGGCAGCCTTAGATAAATCATTTGTCAAACAGAAGTTCTATCTATGTTCTTCATCCGGTACTGATGGCCCCTTAATGGAGTGATAGGATTCACTCATTCATGCATTCATTCATTTGGCAGTTAATAAATATTGAGTGACTCCTGTGTGACAGGAGTCATACTAAGCATTGTCTGGTATAATCCCCAGTGAAGACAAACATGTAAATGAGAAATTTTAATACAAGATGGTAAAAGCCCTTTTAGCGGTCAATGCAGGTATCCTATAAGCATCAGGGGAGGGTTCCTGCAGGAAGCTGTCTACAGTGAAATTTAATGTATCTTTAGGAGTTGAGAAAGGTGTGTGGATGGAGTGTGAGAAATGCTGGAGAAAGGGACTCGCATGTACAACCACCTCGAGGAAACGGAGAACAGGATGCCCCCAGAGTGTGGACAGTGCTACAGTTGTAAGAGGGGCTTGGAGAGGGGGATGGAGCGGAGAGAAGGGGGAAGTATTTATAAAAGGGGAGTGGCAAAAACTGAGATTGGAGAAGTAAACAAGCAGCTGGATCATGAAAGGCCTTTGTGCCACATTAAGGAATTTGACTATTACCTGGAGGACACCAGGGAAGTCATAAATGAGTTTGAATGGAGAGGCAAGATAAGATTTAGCCTTTCTGAAAGGCCTTATGGAAAGCTGAAAAACTGCTTGGTGAGTATACTTGGAAGGAAGACACCTTAGGTTAGACCACTATTGTAATAATTAGGTGATTGTGGTTTAGACTCTGAATGAAGATCATGGAGGTGAACAGTGGACAAAAGTAATCAGATTCAAGGCATTTATTAGTAGGACAGCATGGAGATCACTTGGTGGTTTATGTGATGTGTGAGCAAATGGAAGGAAGAAGTCAGAAATGATTCCCAGGTCTTGACTTGGACAAGTGGAGAATGTTTCTGCTTTTTTTTTTTTTTTTTTTCCTAGACTCAAATTTTCATTCTCTGTAGAGGACTCCAAAGCATCTTTTGACCTTAATAATTCATTCTTATCTTATAGCCCCTATGCTCATAGTTTTAGAAACAATAGATTGTGTGACTCTTCCTGAACCAACTCTTTCTGTGATCTGTATTTGAGACACTGGCAGTGTAAAAAGCATAAGTTAATCACTTCTTCTTGGGCCAGCTGGTGGCATGTTGGTTAAAATGGCTGAATCCCATATGGCCAAGTACACAGTTTGAATCCAGAACTTTGAGGCTTGATAAACACTCCAGATTTGAAAAACACACCCAGATCCTGAGAATGGAGAAGGGATTGCAGTGCCACCCCCCAGGGGATGCCCGCTCTCTCTCTCTCTCTCTTTCTCTCTCTTCCCCCAGGGGATGCCCTCTCTCTCTCTCTCTCTCCTCTCTCTCTCTCTCTCTCTCTCTCTCTCTCTCTCTCTCTCTCTCTCTCTCTCTCTCTCTCTCTCTCTCTCTCTCTCTCACACACACACACACACACACACACACACCCTACAGAAGAAAAAAGAAATCACCTCTTATCCAAATAAAGAATCCTAAGGTTACCAACCTTACTATCTGAGAGAACTAAGTAGATTGATTGAAAAGTTTGGGCTAGCCAGTGGTTAAGGGTGCCAGATCTCACATGGCTGGCTATAGTTCAAGTCCCAGTCGAGTAGCTTGGAAAACATGCCATGCATGGTGTTCCTGCCCCAAATCCCGACAGGATGGAGATATGGAGGAGAAGGGAGTTGCACACCAGTGTGGAGTGCTTTCTCGCCCTCTCTCTCTAGTGAACTTGTATACCTCCTGACATTTATTTTAAATAGAAAAACTATGAAGATTTACAGAATAGAATCTTTGGGGAGAGTTACAGGAAAAAGACAAATTGACCCCACTAACCCTCCCACATCAGTGTCTCTATAGACTCACAACATACGTTCCCAGGCCTGAGATCTGAGAACCCAAATGTGTGGAGGGCAAGTGGAGATCATGGAGGTTCAAATACCATTTTCAGGGATCAGAGTCCTTCCATGGAGCACACCGGGGTGTAAGGAGTGGACTGTTCACCACCCACAGTAGAATAGTCTCCAATTCTGTATAAAGATTGACGTTAGTCATTATGCATCTGAATTCCATCACCAGTGAAGATGGACTATAGCAGTTGTAATAAATCAAGACCCCAACCCAGCCAGTGACCCCTATTCTATGGTTCCGGTTGGACAGGTTTTGGGGCTTTTTTTTTTTTAACAAAACTTGTCTACACCGCAAATGCTTTTTTTGCCTGCCATGTAAAAGGCATCAGCAAATGCCAATGGGCCTCAAGGACCACATCTAACTGCAAAGTTCTGTTCGATCAGCTGCTCCCAGCTTTGTGTTGTCCTCCTCTAATCCTCAGTTACCCTTGAGGTAGGTGTTATTATATTATCATCCCTCGATTTAATACGGATAAACTTGCAGTTTGGCGGGGTCAAGACCTTTAGGCATAAAGACGCTCGGCTTGAGGGATTGGAGCGCTGGCTGGATGGAGCCCAGCGTCCTTCCCACAGCGGAATGCCTGGCAAATGCCTGCAGCCTCGGGGCAGAGCCAGGGCGAGGCCGTTCTGCCCTGACAGCCTGTCGGTCCAAGCCCAGGGAGCGGGCCACCCGCTCTGCTCCTGCGACGCCGCTCTGCGCTGCTACCCGAAGGCCCTCCTGATGCAACT